AGGCTCCTTTAGGAGAATGAACAAGAACCACAGCAGAACGGCTGCGCAGTATAGATTGTACGAGATGGCGCCTTGAACCGAGTCCGGCACCACGAAATCAAACCAAGTCCCGACGAAGCTGATGGTCCACATCGGTACCGTGATGAGTAGCATAAGCACGACTGGTGTAAAGAAGCGCTCTGAGGCACGCATGCTTGGCTCCTGGGTCGAGGCCGGGTCTCCCTGCTGTCCCTGCTCCTCGTCACTGCCATCGAGTAGGCAGACTGTGGAAAGCACGGCAATCACAAACATCATCGCGGAGTCGAACTGAAACAGATACGATGTAGGACAGACGTGGTAACAGGTACTGCCGAAGCCTTCCAGCACCAAGCACCACGACAGGGCATAAAAGAATCGCAGGTCAGGTGGTCTGGGTTCACCCTCTGTTTCTGCTTGAAGTGTGAGGTTGTAGTCTGTGTGTGTCACGATGATGATAGACAGAACGCCAGTGACAAAGTAGGGAATGTGGGAAAGCATGTTGTTGAAGGGCAGGTCAAGGCCGAAAGGAACGTAGCATTCGAAGTTGTATCGGCAGATGTCCAGCGAGCCGGCTTGTCTTTGGCCGGCCCATATGCCCATGGCCAGTTGAATGGCGGCCAGAAAGAAGCAACCCGCAGACACGCAAATAATTGCAGCATGCGATCCACGCCGGATGCCCGCGTCAGCCGTCTGCCAGAGAAATGTTCGGAAGTCGGCATCCAGCAGGCACCACTCTCGGACCAGACGCAGAAAGGGGCGTCGTGAACTTGGAGATCCGCGCCGGGCATGCCAGGTTCGTTTCAGGTGTAGATCGAGAGCCTGGAAAACAAGGACGGCCACTACAGGGATGATCCACATAGCCAAAGCACACGACCTCAATGTTGGCCGAGGCGGTGCCCCGCGCATGGACACTTCGTACGTGACGAAGCTGTCGGAGCCATGCGGCATCAACAGCACAAACCAAAGACCCTCGGACAGTGGCAAGGCGGACCAGCGGCTCAAAACCACACGTCCCTCGCTCATGACGGTGAATCGGAGGGACCTGGGCAACTCGTATGAAACGATGTCTGAGATTTTCTGGGAGGATAAGCAGTCTGCGAGCTGCCGCACACTGACACACTTCGACACAGATGGCCGCTTGCGAATCTCGAAGTCCATACACCCATTCCCAGCAGCTGGAAACAGGAAGACCTCCATGCTGCCATGTTGGTAGTTATTCGCACGGATCTCCAGGGACTGCTCCCCACTTCGCACCATGTCTTCCGTAATGTCGAATGCCACAACTCCGGGCCTGTTGATGTTTATCCTCTGCGCAGGTGTTTCAGAACTTTGTGGGTTTATCTGTTTGGCGATGAGGTTTGCAGACAGCCGGTAACTGTCCTGTTGAACTGAAGATTGTGGCATGACGATAATGCCACTCAGAGGGTCGTGAAAGTTGCAAACCAACTTGCCACGCAACGTGTCACGCTGAGTAGGGAAGCTCAAAAATGATTCTTCCACCAGGACATTGGCATGCACAGGCAAGTCGTTTTGCACTGCATGGCTCTCCTGCGTGTGCCTCACGTACACGGACAAGTCAGCGATGAAAATTGGAGGGGAGAAAGTCACCTGAGTCAACAAGGTTGCAATGTTTGAAGTCGGAGTGTATGGCGCCATTTCCTATGTCCTTGCAGGCGTGCCGGTCCGCTGCCCAAGCAATGCAAAAAAACATCTATGAGCTCCAGAATCTTGATCTGAAGCAATCATCTATCTATCATGATTGTCATGTGGCCTTAACCAGTGTCCTTATTTGCAACAGCCTAAACCCTTAAATCCCCAGGACGCGTAAAGGGCTTTAAGGAGGCTTACAGGCCTGAAGGGCCCTAGAGCCCCACCGGCCAAAAGGAAGCTTAAGGGCCGTAAGGGGCCTTAGGAATCTTAAAAGGCCCAAGACGCCGGCAAGGTTGGCCTCGACCCAACGGCTACCATCCCCAGTCAGCAAAGCTAAGCAACCAAATCTATGAATCCCATTCATCGTGCCTTTGTGTTGTTGTAGAGGTGTAGAGGAACCATGCTTTTCACTGGTAATCTATCAATGTTTATCAACCCAAAACCTTTCTCTTTCGGCAGTCCAAGACTGCCAGACAGGCCGGACAGAGAACACAAGGACAGTGGGAAAAGGCGCAGAACGACGACTTCGAGCACTTACTTTTCATACCTTCTTTGATTTGTTCAAGTAATCGTCTTCAACTTCTTCACCCGAACGGTACTATGGATCGCTGTGCAGTAAACTGCCAGGCATCTCTAAAGCGGCTGTCCATCTACCAGGCCTATGTACGAAGAGATGAACTCAGTCAGTGCGCATTGAGCGTGAAGTTCAACATGGTGGTCTCAATCGCGCGAGGATAATATATTTCAGATTGGCAGTAGATCATGTCACGCAGGTGGATGCACGTCTCTGCTGCCGCAATCGACAGTTGCAATGCCTGATGGACACATGCCAACCACGATGGCCAGCAAGCGCGCATGGCTGCCAGATTTGCATCAGCATGGGACAGCAATGCTTGTTCCGGTAGTCACAAGCCCCGAGCCTTACCTGAGCCAGTCCTCGAAAGCTTAGTTTCAATGCTGCGCCATCTTGCTGGGCAAAGTGCTATGGCTACGTTTTTCCCTCCCGAAGATATACCTTCATGTATCATGCCGCTTGGTCACAAACCTCGTCCAGGAATGCATCATAGAATGTCATAGAAAGGCTTCATCACGTGATTGTGTTCATCTGCTCTTGCGACCCAAGAAAAACAAAGAACCCGGAATGGAACAAATCAAACACGTGCACTTGGCTGCTTCAACAGAAGCTCCTAGAGTAGGGGAACCCCTACGCATGAGTGTACTGTACGGCTGCCGAAACGTGCCACCAAACCCATGTAGACCAGTTGCGATGCAAAACCAGTGCCCGTTCTGGAGTGCAGTTGCTCACGTGCGGCCTTCGAACCTTATTTAATTACAGGCGGCAATAACTAGTATAAGTAAGAAACCTCAGCATTGCACGCCTTGCGCAGTATTGGGCAGATGTAGTTTCTTGTCCCCCAACCCTGGCAGAAACACCTGGCCCACTGACTTGCATTCCGCAAATCCCACAGCATTTTCGGCACGTACGGGTGTCCGAGTAAGGGGTGTCCATGTGCGGCCATCACTGTCCAGGGTCATCCGTCGCGTCGGCCGGTGCGAGGATCTCATCTTCGAGGGCTCGGTCGGCTCAGCCGCTCGCTGAGCTCTTTAAGCAAGGCTTTCTAAGACGTGAAAGAGGTGGAAAATCCCTTGCATGTCCTGGAGCCCAACATCGGCGTTGCAGGTCTCACAGCGAACAGCGAAGTATTTTGCAGGGTCGTCCTGACACGATGCAAGGTCACCCGGTACTAGTACCCCTCCTCGGTTTTCAGCGGACTTCTCCCGGCCTTCGCCATGGAGAGGGCAACGGATTTGTCCACTTTGCAGTTTCGCACTTCGGAGGCCCGCCACTGGCGAGTGAACTGCTCATGTCGCTGGCACTGGTAGCCTGCGTATCGGAAGGCGACATCGGAGAGACGAAAGGCAAGACTATAGACTGAGGGCTCCGCACACAGGCGTGAAGCAGCCCGGGCAGTTCAGGACAGCGTCTGTGCCCTTCACATTTTGCATGTCGGGCTGTAGCAACTGATCCTCGTTGCCAAATCACAATCTGTCGCTTGACATGGCCTTTAGCCTGTAGTGGTGCACTACACAGCACAGTCGCAGTCACTAGCCGTCACTAGCTGCAAAAGCATGAGGCCGAGCTTCTGCGACCCACTTCTCGTCTTGATCGTCCGCTTCCGGATCGTGCAGCGGATCTACGTCAAGGTTGTCGACCTTTACTGTTCCTGGCATGATGCGCATTCGGCGGTCGCCAAGGTTCGGCAAACCTTTTACTGTGAGACGTCAAGTCCTTGTGCGACATTCCACTGAACGATGTGTGGACGGAGAACAATACCGGGAGCTACGTGAGGATCCCAGTCGTCATCGTCAGCGTGGCCATCGTCAACCTGCTGCATGAGGCGTCAGTCTGCAGATTACCCCTGCGTGTCCCAGCCCTACCTCCATGGCATTTGCCATGAGGCGCCTATCATGGAAGGAGCATCGCAGAAGGCACCCGGCTCCGCCAAGCCTATCGCCCGAGCCAAAACTCGCGTGACTCGGAGTCGAGACAGCAAAGACCGGTGCAGCATGCTTGAGGACAGAGTGCTGTAGCTGCCGCGTGAAGGTCTGGTTGGATTTGCTGGCTCATCGGAGTAAACACACCTGTCTCTCCCATCTCCTCCCTGCCTTACACTCCTTCTCCTTCTGCCTCCTGCGGTGCTTGAATGCCTGTAAGTACTCAGAGGTGACACTCAGGAGCTAGGGCTTCAGTCCCTTTCAACTCTCACAGTCCCTCTCCTCGCAGGGCAGAGAGGGGCGAGCCCCCGTGTGGAGGCACGCCCTTGAAGGTCTGCGGCTTCAGGCGGTTCACGTACTTTCTGTGGGATTACAGGCAACCTTAAAGCGTCGGCACTGTGACCAGGTCTTTGACAGAAATGCCCCGAAGTACATACCTCTTTCTCTCTCTACCATTGTGTCCCCCGGGAAGTTGCTCTAACTAGCGCAATCAAGAGCAGCTGCCGCCGCTCCCATGCACGCATGCGCACTGTTCACTCTCGCTGTCCTGCCACAAAATCAGAGGAGCACTGGATCTCCCGTATCCCGCGGTTCGAGCCCGCGTTTGTCTTGAGTCATTATGCCTCATGCACCTTAAGCAGCACTCGCCACTCGCCACTCGCCAGTACTGCTTCCGTTGGGGATTGCGCTCAGCCACTACTTTGTCATGTGGGTCCGTTTCGGCTGGGTTCGTTGGGAAGGTGCGGTGTGAGGTTCTGGTAGGCTATCAAGAACGCGAAGGGTATCTTCCATGGCCATGCATACACTCTCTCCCCCTCATGGTACGACTCCCGTGGCTACCATCTCCTCTTACAGTGAAAGGCCCAGGCAATGGCAGGTCTGTAGACGCCGCGAAGCTTCAACCGCAGGGGAAGCCTCCAAACAAACGCCTCAAAACTGCCTGCCAACATCTGCCAACTCGCAGCAGCATCGCATGCCTGCTTGAGAAAGCATCAAGCGAAACTTGAAGGAGTTGCTCGGCAGCTTCCTCGTAAACCTTTTGCAAAGGTCTCCTGCTGTCAGGCATCATGATTGGGCCTCGTAACCTGGTACTTCCTTGCACGGTGTCGAAAAACAAAGCAGCTGCTCTGCTGCCTGCAATGAAAACAGGCTTCAGATCCTAAGTTGCGAGCCAGGCACGGATAGCGAACGGAGCTGCCAGGCAGTGGAAGGACGACCTGACGGCTGAAGAGCTAAAGCCGACTCAACCTTAAAGGCTGAGGTCCAGGCACTCCCCGGCTCGACGGAAGCAAGGTTCGTCAGCTCGACGGGTACCGGCTCTTCTCCGTCGGGCCCTGACGGGGTCCAGAGTCCAGGCTGTTGTGACGCTTCCTTCTTGGATTTCGGCCTCCTTGCACGACGAGGTCGCCCTCTGCGGGGATAGGTCCCAGGGCAGCCCGGTGAGACAAGACCTGGAAAGATGAGGGGGCCTGCGCCTGGCAAACGTAGATTTCCCAGTCGCCTTGTTGAAGATGAGGCTCTGGGCAGACTTTACCTTACGATCTTGACTTTCCGAATCAAATCTACACTTTCTGCTCCTGTAAGCCAAGTGACGAAGAGCATCAGCACTTGCCGTGGAAGCCGCAAAAGAGCTTCCTCGGCATTGAGCCCACGAGCCAGGCAGCGCAGCAAGCCTGCGAAACGTGGACGGCAAGAGCACTTCCGCGCCCAATGATAATGTAGCAGCCTGATTAAGAAACCTTGGGCCTTGCTTAGGGTTCCTTAAATGAGTTCTACTGTTTGGGGATTAGGCCCAGAGTTTCTTAATCAGGTTCCTACATCAATCAAAGAGGCTTCAGAGAAGGCCCTCCTCGCTCGACATGGTAGCCCGGAAGTTGGGGAACTCGCTGCAACGCGGCCTGTCAGGCCACCCGACGCTTAGAGTCTTACAGCTTCTTGGGATTAGGAGTGCTCCTCGGCTGCCAGGACCACGTCGCCACCAGCTCTGATTGCCGTCAGAAAACTTTGCTGTGCTGCCTGGCTCCGATGCTCCCGAATTCTTATGAAAAAGAACGGACATACGAGCAAAGATCACTAAGGGCAACAGGATCCGAGAGGCCTGCATCTCCTCATCCCACGTCATAGCATCTGCGGCGTCTGCGCCCAAGAGCTCGATGTCGCCCAGTATCAATCCTTGGCAGGATTGGACCTAAGAATGCTATGAAGGAGTCCGTGCCGTTCTGCTTGCATGAGGTCCAGGCTCACTGCGTGGTCGAACTGGTGACGCAAGATGGCTGCTCCCACCTGAGCCCCTTTCCCGAGCATGCGACTTTCAAAAAATAGCTGTCTTCGTAGGACACCTGACGCTGCTATTGCTGTCCGAAGGTCATGGAATGAATGGATGACCTGCGATCCGAACCTTGCGAAATCCCACTGTCACCTATTCCTACTTGTCTGGCATGCTAGGACTCAGACTCAAGGGATTGCGGAGGCAGTATAATGAAAAACAAACAAACAAAACCATTGAAAGACTAGCTTGTTCACCGGGCCTCTGCGGGCCGAAGTAATTGAGAAAGCCCGACCGGACGAGGGATCTGCAAGCTTCTTGAGCTGCTGAGCTTGGCGAGAGCAGCTCCTTTTCGGCAGATTTACAGCTGGGCTGTTGAGTGATGAACAGAACTGTTCCGGCAGATAGTAATTACGAATCATGCTCCTACTTCGGAGCGATGCACACAAACTCAATGTCAAACACATGAGAGCTTCGACCTGTGCAAGCCAGGAGGCCTGCTCCGGGACCATGCGGAGCACAACATTGAACCGATTCCCAAGCAGGTCTCCCAGACGCACATGTGAAGTCTTCACCGCCAAATCCGAGACTCGAACTCGTCTCTCGCAATCCTGGGACATCTGATCGGCTACGCTGCCAAAGCCCTCTTCTCAGTCCCACATTCAGTCTTGCGATCAACCAACAGCCATCCCTCTCCGGACTCAGCTCAGGCACGGGATGGTGAAGCGCACGTTGAAGCTCTGCAGGTAAGAGCTCAGCACACGACATCTGCTGCACCGTGACAGCACAGCGGTCCTGCACACTTTGAAGGCAAGTTAGGAAGCACTTGGGTGATCATGGATGCACTTCTCCATGAAACCCTGCAGTTGCATCTCCTTGTTACCAGCGAACCTGAGAGTTCGCCGGGAGCGGCCCAAGCAGCGTGCTAGCAGTGCCACCGCGTCCAGAGTGTCCAGCCCTGAATCACCCTATATAGGCTGAACCGAACGTCATGAAAATCAAGTTGATGGCATTAGTAGTGCAGTGACAACGTGTCCGAGCCTTCCTTGTAAAGCCGAAAATGCAAGTGCCATCTGCCAGCATCAGGCACACAACCTGTGATTGTCACTCATGCTCAGGGCCATCTCACACACAAACACACACACATGAAGATACGTGTACTGTGTATAAAAAAAACATCACATCTACGTCTACATTTACATCTCAATCTACATCTACATACACATACACATGCGCATGCACATAAACACAGACATATACACATACACAAAAACACACACACACACACACACACACACACACACACACATTGCATATGCATACGCAGTTGCATATCTATATCCATATACACATGGATTGGGTACAGCCGGGCCCCTGTAACAGTGACCACAATGAAACCCACAAAAAAAGCACAACTTCTTTATAAGGGGTTCATGCAAAACCTAGATTTACAATTGTCACTGAAAAAAATGGGTGCAGAAAAAATCATACATTTACAGTTATCCCTGAAGGACAGGGTGTGTCCCCATATGGATTCTGGTAATTTGTACCGCGTCTGTCGGACAAGCTTCTAACCAGCCTTTTGTTTCTGCCCCACTTTCCGACTATCAGTACCTGAAGGGGGGAGGAGGGAGGGGGAGGAGGGAGAGGGAAGGGGGAGGAGGGGAGAGGGAGAGGGGGAGGAGGGGAGGGGAGGAGGGAGGGAGAGGGGGGAGAGGGAGGGGGAGAGGGAGGGGGAGAGGGAGGGGGAGAGGGAGGGGGAGAGGGAGTGGGACTGCATGGTCTGCTTTCCTGCCCCCGTTTCTGCCCTTTCTCTCTTTCTGTTTCTCCGTCCACACCTCCCACTGCTCTTTCTCTGTCACTTCTTCTTCGTGTCAGTTCTGCCTCCCTCATCTTTCTGTCGAGCAAGCTCAAAGCAGCAAGAAGCTTAGATCACCGATTCTGTCACCTGTCACAGTCTTTCTATGCAATCTGACATATGGTACGGTATGGTATGGATTTCAAGACTTCAGCGGTCTTCTGTTTACGAGTTTACGGTTTCGGATTGAAAGGCTGGATCCGCTACCGGATGTGCCGCCCTCCCCTGCCCTCCCGTCCTCGCCCAGTCCCTCCACCCGGTTCGGATTTGCGGTATTTCTGTATTTGGTGCTCCCTGAACTCGAGCCCGCGCCACCGGAGGGTTCTGTTTTGATCTCGATTTCGTGTTTCGGTTCTGTTTCAGAGTCTCATTGTCGGCTTCAGCATCGGTGAAGTTTTGTTAATTTGGGATCTCCGACTCAATCGGAATTTGAAGCACTCCAACGACAATGTTCAGACTCATGCAACACATACTGCATAGACACAGAATAGCTCAGCGCAGCAGCTCAAGTTCCGCTTGTTTTTCGCCATCAAGTCACATAGCACACGCTCCACTCTCCAACGGGCACAAGTGCTTCGCACGTTGTTGCAGACGTGTCAAGCTTGCAGTACGGCCACGAACCCTTGGAGCCAAGCCGCTTGGCTAACTCCCCGATGGCATACAATGAAAGTCAGACACTAAATCACGCAGCCACAAAGTGGCAGCAACTTGGTCAAGTGAATGCTGTGAATGTAGTACCTGACCTTTTTTGGATCGTATCAAGCCCCCCAAAACCTATCGTAGCCTACAGCCTATAGCCTATCGCCCACGGTCCAGCCGCATAGCATATGGCACTATGGGTTTATGGTTTATGACTGTATCACTGTATCACTTTGTTTCTCGAGCGCTACCACCAGGACACATGAACCACAGGACCAGTTTCACTGCACCGGTTATGAACTTATGTCGCCCCACGTGCCCAAGCCCATGCCCATTTACTAATACTGTAGACTATAGTATAGGCTATAGGCTATAAGCTGTATATTATATAATATAGTCTATGTTTCAATTATGAGCAATTCTAAGGCTTTGTGCTATAGGCTATAGGTTATAAGGGTATCGGCGGTATAGGCCATAGGCTATAGTATATGGTATAAGTATTGATCTCTGACTCTTACAATGACCATAATTTATCATGACTATTCCTTGTAGCCTGTACCTGGGGTTCTACCACGGTCTAGGGTTTCGGTTTCTGTTTAGTCGGCCCAGCACAAAACAGCAAGTCAGCAAGGCTTCTTAGAGAGCATACGTGGCCGGTGGAGCCAAACTAGACATGTGGGAGCACGCTGCTTCAAAAACTTCTGCCGTTCGGAGTGTTGTTTGGTGACACGCGAGACTCACACGCTTCTTGAGTGGCCTTCAATCACAAGCAAAACCGAAAAGATTGGAGATGGATGAGCGAGACCCGGGAGCCGGGAACTGTGTTCACGGTCTAGCCGCTAGCCGAAACCAAATGCCAAGTTGTCCATGGGCTAAGTTGGTCTGCGGCCTATGTCTAAATGCCATAGTCTGTCCGTGTCTCGCGAATGCTCAACCGGGTCAAGCAACCATCAGATGGAGCGACTGTCTCTGCGGCCGCACTCCAAACACAAAACCGGCGCAAGACACACAGTCTACTCAACTCAGAGCTCGATCAACAGGCACGGTCCAAGACTGGGCTTGATTACGAGTCCGATGGTGTGGCGACTGCTCCAGACCTATGCCGTGCCTACATCTATATTATATGCCTACATACTTAAATAACTACATATCGTCATCCGAGATTTCACTCTGATTCAACTGAAATCACGTAAAACGGACCTGGCCTGCAACAAAGCCCTTACTCTCACTTTGCCTCAGCCGCCTCCGTCAGCCAAGTCCACAGCGCTTTGGTCGGCTGGTAGCCCGATTTCTCCACGCTCTTCCGGAACCTGGCTGAAACGGCATACGATGTCCGAAAGAATCTACGTATACATGTATATGACTTAGACTGACTTCAACTCTGACTTCTACCACCCTATGGCCTATGACCCCATGGGTCATGGCTTATTGGGCTTTCTAGGGGTTCCCTTTGTGTTGGAAGGGACCTATGGACTTATGGATGATTTGTTGGGCACTGTCCGTTCCCCAGCTCTGGTGCGATCTTAGACGGCTACGAACGACCAGGACATATTGTACCTGTGGCACACTGCACACTGTTAGTCACACACACACACACCACAAAGACCCATACATATGGCCTATACTTACATAATATTCACCCAGACCGGACACCTTTCATACCCAGACCGTCAAGATCAAACCGACTAACATCGGACATGGAGCTCACGTGCAAGTGCTGCCCGCTCCCGGGCTGGACGGCCAGTCAACCGGAAGAGAATCAGGTTCAATCCATGCACGGTGGTGGAGTAAATGCGCAAAGCCCGAATCTCCCTCTGGCAGCTTTTCATCCTCCCAAGGGAAGCTGCCAACACCATGTTTAATCCCCCGAACTCGGATGCGAGGCCCTCGAAAATCCCCATCAACTTGACGAAGTGGTCGAGGTTTGAGCAGATTGCAGCGTGCAACTCTTTTTGGAACATGACTTGCTTGATGCGCTGGATGTTTTTGCTGATGATCCAATTGTTGTAAGACTCTGGAATCTGCTTGCTTGCTCCGATGAGGAACTTCTCGAGCTTGGCCAAAAAGTCTTGGAAGATCACGTCGTTGAGAAAACAGCTCGAAATCGTCTTGCATACGACGTCGAAGCTGTCCTTGTCGATGTAGGTCTCCAGCTTGTGCAGGCCCTTGACCAAGCTGGTGCGCAAAGGAAGATCGATTGCAACCATCGTTTCCACGAGTTCCTCAACGGACCCGGTGTCGCCACGCTGCAGGATCACCTGCACAGCAGCCACGGCTTGAACAACACAAGCGGTGCTATACATCTTCCGGCACTGCTGAAGCGTTGTCTGGTCCTCCTCGGACAGTTGCCCATAAGTTTGCACCATAGCCTCGAGGCCGGAGAGCTGCTCACTCGGCAGCACGTGATCCGCAGCTCGTACGAAAATCTCTGATGCGCCCTCTTGCCGGGTGTCTGGCAGGAATCGGGCGCCTGCCAGAGTCTTCCACCAACCCTGGTTCTGCACGCACATATCTCGGATTTCCGATGCCATGTTCTTCCAAACACTTGGCAGGAGTTGGGTGACCACACAGCCCAGCACAGGGAAAGCATCGCCAGCTGCTGAGAGGTCCTTCTTTGCGGCAGCGGTCAGGGCATCTTCTGTCGGCGAAAGCACTTTCAAGGAGATGCAGAATTGCTGCATGGCAACGGCCATGTGGCGACTAGCTTGCCCCTTGGCCTGGACCATGTTTGTGCTACACTGGTCAAACCATTCCGAAATCGTCTTGGCATCGCTTGTGTTCGTGGACTGCAAAAGGTCGTGGAATGCAAGCATCAAATCCACCTGAGTTGAATGTGACCCATGTGAAACGCAAAGCCGCGCAGCAGCTGAACTCAGTCTCGCCATGACCCGTCGCAATCCGGACTGAACTTTGCATGCTTGTTGATGGTTTAGGGTTTAGGCTTTAGGGTTTAGGCTTTAGGGTTTAGGGTTTAGGCTTAGGGTTTAGGGTTTAGGATGTCAGCAACTCAGGTGAACACGTAGATCTTGACATGCTCAGCTTGCCGTCGTGTGCAATGCGGGAACTGGATGCTCAACGAATCACAGACCCCGGAGAAGTTCTTTAGGTCTGCATCCGCCGCCA